CTGAGTTGAAGGCACCTGAGATAGTTAAGGTTCATTGTGCCAACCTGGCCAATAAACACATGTGGGATTAATTGAAGGGCAGGGAGATAACTGACTCGGTGAGCCTCACCTTTCCAATTCTCGGGTCTCTTGCTTTCTGATGGTCAGACCAGGGTGCAGCTGCCTTAGCCAGTTCCATGCTTCATCTGGCAAGGCTTACTTTCTGCCAGACATCCCTGAGGAGATGCCACATGGACCTACTCTGATGCAGCCCTGGGTGCTGAAGCAGCCATGTGGAGACCCCTGCCAGTGCTGAGATGCTTACACACTCACTGAGTCGGCTTTCCTCCTGCAGTCAGTGACCTTGCATGTGTTTTGTGAGATTGAGGAGGACTTTGTAGATCCATGTTGGACATATGGGCTAATGTTGGACTTATGGTCTTGAACAGCACTGAGTTGGGATGCTTTCTTAATGTACACTTATAAAACTCTCTCATATACATGTTTCTGTGGATTTGTTTCTCTAGTCTAACTAGACTAACACAGCACCTAATGACAACAGTCTAGGGTAGTGGTTACTCAATGGCCTGCTAACTGCAAGGTCTGCAGTTTGAAACCACCAGCCTCTTCATGGGAAAACGACAAGGTTTTCTCTTCCCATAAAGAGTCACTGTCTCGGAAATCCACAGGAGCAATTTTAGCCTGTCCTATACAGTCACTACGAGTCGGAAAGGAGTCTGTGGCAGTAAGTTTGGTTAAGTGAATCTGTCTTCAAAGGATCCCGAGTGGCACAGTGGTTAAGTATTCGGTTGCTAGTCCACAGGTGAGCAGTTTGAACCCACCAGCTACACTGCGGGGGAAAGATGAGGCAGTTTACATGTCAAGATTTACAGCTTTGGAAGTCCTGCGTTTGACTGTTCTCCAGGGTTGCTCTGAGTCCAAACTCGCTCGCCAGCATTGGGTTTGATTTGTCTCTCAGCCTGTCTCCAGAGCCCATGTTTTTACAACTGTGCTAACAGACTGTGCAGAGGGAGCAGCAAGGTAGAAATGCGAGACTGTGACCATTATAATCAAGGTGGTTCCAAGTGTGCCAAGCAGAAGTAAAGAGCCTGGGAAATGACAATTGCATAGTGAGAAAGATGATGGGGCAGGAGCAGCAAAAGAAATGGAGACGTAGCACTTGATAGAATGCATACGAAAGAGGACAGACACAATGTATGGGAACAAGTCAGCTTGTGCGGTGGGAAAGAAGACGTGTAGTACAGGAAGGGACAAGCAGAAAAGCACGCTTTTTATTAACCAGTTGCAGCAAGGATGGCCATCCCAGTAACAGACATGCGTTGGCGAAAGATGCAGAAACTTTCGGAAGATCTAACCATGTGAGAAGGATAGTTTGGATGGGTGGGTGGGTGGGTGGATGGATAGGTGGATGGATGGATGGATGGATGGATGGATGGATGGATGGATGGATGGATGGATGGGTGGATGGATGAGGGAGTACCCAACAAAAACTGAAATTTTCCCAAAGTGAGGAGACATGGTGCTATTCTTATGACCCTGAAAGCAAACATCATCTATCAAGCCATTAGAAGACTCCATCATTTGTTTTTTAATGGGAGGGGGATGGCTTTGGGCGTGATGATGTGGCTACATGAGGTAGTTTCAAAAAGGACTTTATCAGCTGTCGTTTTGCCTACAAAGTGGGAAGTCTTTGTTGCAGAGGACGCTGTTTGCTCCTCCGTGGTCTACCGTGCAATTCTTACACCATTGGTTTTTCATTTTAGGCGGAGGACTCTTTCTGGACTTCAGGAAAGTTCTAGAACCTCTAGGATGGTGGTTCCTAATTCACAAGTCTAAAAGAGCAGAATAGAAGAAGAATGTAAAGGGGCAAAGTGCCATTAAATAGAAGGAAGATAATATAAATTCTGCCACATTAAAAAAATTGCATTGAAGACAGTGGTGGTTTTAAATCACTGCAAGCAGTCAGTTGGCTCCCTCATGATCTGCTCTGATGAAGCCGAGTTTCATTTTAGAGAACACCTTCATGAAAAAAAATTAAAGGTCAACTTCCCTGTCGCATTTCCCTAGTGGAAGGGCTATGCACAGAAATATAGGGTCAGACCTTCTAGTGGAACCAGACACTCATGTCTCAGGCTAAAGGCATGAAGATTATGCACCTCAACAACACGCTCGAGTCCACAGTGTGTCTGTGGGTATGCCCGTGGCCCTTCCCCGCCTGCCCTTTGGGAAGCAGATTGAATATATGTATCCCAAACCTTTAAATATGTCAACAGTGTGAGCCACAACTAGGAAGTTTGTTCAAGGAAATGATCATTGCTGTGCACAGAGAATTCTCTAGAGATGGTCATCACAATGTTATTTATGTAATGGAAACTTTAAAGTGAATGACTGGAAATAGCAACATGGGGAGTGGATACATAAATACATACAAGGGATAAAATACCATGCAGCCAACTTTGTTTTATGTTGAAGAAAAATATTTATTGACAAGGAGAAAAGCAGTATGTAAAACGATGTTTTAAAAATATAAACATTTATGTGGGGGGAAAAACCCAAAATAAAAACCAAAAACCCTTGTTCTTGATTTATCCCTGCAGAAACAGTGAAACATGCTCAATTTATTGATAAACATGTTGAGATTCAAGGTGATCTTTCCACAGAAAGAAAAAAACCCTTGCATTGTTAGTTTCTACTCTATAACAGATGTTCTCAAGAGATGATTTCTGTTTATCTTTAGTCTGAAAATTCCTACTTTCTCCACTTCACTACAACTACTTTTGTCAATCCCAAATATTTAGAAGACTAGATTTCCTTTCATAAATGATTTATGTTGTTTAATTTTCCTGGAAGCTGTTAGCAGGGATCTGGTGACAATTAAGTTTTGTTTTTCGTTTTTAAAGAGAAAAAAAAAATTTTTTTTTAAGTAGTCTTCCTGTTCTCTAAGTCTGCAATCTTTAATCCATCGTCATCATGTGAAAATAATGAACATGTTCAGATTGGTTTTTCATTTGCCTTAATATAAGTAGCTGTTATATGGAAAGAGACTGACTTGACGCCAAGCTGACTAGAGGAATTATGGGCAGGAGAATGAGAAGACCAGCTCTCTGCTCTCCATTTTCAACTTATCCCAAGGCCAAGGCTTGCAGCAGCTACAGGACTACCGCAGTAGAGGTTCACTTAGTGAAGTCACATGGGCCATGGGGCTGGCCTATCCCAAAACCAAGCAAGCTCCACACCAGCTTCTGAGACGCCTCTTGCTATTTGTGATGGTTACTAGCGCAAGTTTAAATTGGTCCTGAATCTTCCCTTCTGCTCCAAAGAAGGAGCTTCCATGTGTGTAGACAGGGCTGTTCAGTGTCATGGGCACAGGAAGTGAAAAAGGGTCTTGGCCTACCACCACTAGTTCAAGATTTCTAGTGTCATCATTTTGAGGAACTGTCTTTGTGGACATGTTCAACTCACCCAAGAATTCCACAGGGTAATTTTTTAAATTACTTTTTAAAGTTGTACTTGTATATAATTCACAATTCAATAGTTCAATCATATTAAAAATATTTGTACAATCACCACAATCAATTTTAGAACATTTTCTTCTTTCTTGTACTCATTATTAGCTCCTGAACCCCCCAAGAGACCATTAAGGCAGTTATTATCCCAGTAGATTTTCCTCTCCTGGATTCTACAAGGTGTCTTAAAGGCAAAGCCTGACTTTTCTACAACCAGCCTCACCCAAAGTGAAGTTCCCTACCCTGAGCACATAGTTCCTATGGTTATTAATTATCCACAGGGTTGCGCTTTTGTGCAAGTAACAAGAACAGTCATTAAATTGTTCTTTCCCACACGTGTGCTTGGGGACAGTTCATTAGATGAACCAACCTGGTCATGTCGGAAAGTTTGTGATGCTCCAATTTTTTTTCCTTGAAGTAGAAACCATTGTTTTAAATGACTTACCTTTCCAGGCTGTATCATCCTTTAAAGAGGCTTAAGTATTGCCTTTAGAGGATAATCTGTTGAAATTTTAAAAAATAACTTGAGAAATTGTTTGTTTTGAGGTATTAGTTAATATTCTAATATTCCCACTTTTTAGTAAAACAAAATATGTATCTTTAATGAGACATTAAAAAATCAAATTGGAAAGAACAAAAAATCTGATCCATGCTGATGCAATTGTCAGTACAGATGAAAAATCAATAAAGATGAAATTCTGTTTTAACATGCACCTTTTCAAATTTTAACACCTCTGAAGTCAGGATGTGTGTGGAGAAGTCTAATTGCCTTTTTTAGCATACATGCCAACAATGCTTTTTAAAATCGTTGGCTGTGCATTTGATAAGGAAACATAATAAAGGTTTGATGTTCTTTTTGAGAATAACTAGAGAAACACAAATGCAGTTTGCACTGATTGAAGCAGCATTTCCAGTATGTGCACAATATGTCCACTGACCCCACTCTTGTCCTCCTCGTTTCAACACATGCCGGAGAAGGGAACTTCAGAAGGGCTGCGTCTGCAACCACAGAAGGAAGGGGCTCTTAGAAGTTACCCGGTACTGTCTATTGCAGTTAGTGGTACGGCTTCTCGCCTGCCAGCCTTTCACTTCATTTCCAGTAGAAAAGTAGTGTCACTGATGACTAGTTGGAGGCAGAAAATAGCTGCTAAACCTAGAAAAATCTTTTGAGAGTGACAGTTATGTTTCATGTTATATTTCCTGTGTGTCATACTTCACTTTTTGGGTGGTAAATACGTCGCTATGGTGGTTATTCCTATCATAATGATGGCAAAACTGTTTAGATTCTTTTCTGGAACACTGGCAGATAATCAAATATTTTTTCTGATGTATCCTATGTAGGACCACATTGTATCTAATTACAAAACAAATACCCTGTATATAATATGCATTTTTGTTCTTATTGGGGCACTTTATTTTCTTAAAATCTGTTGCTTTTGTGGGGCATTTCCTTGTTGAAATTTAATAATTTCTTCCATGTATATGTGCATGCAGGAAATCTTGAAGAATGAAAAATATAGAGAAGACATAAAAATAAAAAGCGAGGAATTTTATAAGGAAAAACTCTTAAGTAAAGAGGAACTCTTGGCTCTCCCTGTTCACACTCAAATCAAAGGGCACGCCTCTGCTCCACACTTCGGGAAGGAAGAGCCCTCGGAGGGCCCCACCAGCACGGGGCAGACCTTCCAGCCAGGATCCTGGATGCCTCAGGATAGCAAGAGCCAGAAAAAGTGAAGAGCTAGGATAAACCATTTTCTGTACATGGATGTATTTTAACAAATAAACCAGAGAAAGTTATGTTGTATTTTCAGAATGTAAAATGGTTCTCTACTAGTTCATTTAACTTTTTTAATGTGCCTAAGAAATGTGAGATGGCAAAATATAAAGACCTAAAATCTTTGTCATTTTATGAATTTGAATCAAGCTGTTTCCTTTCCTTGAACAATGTCCATGAGAAGTGGCACGTGATCGTGCATGCTCAATACAGTTCGGGTCCTTACAGTCACTAAGGAACAATCCACAGATCTACCTGGTAGAAATTAGGGTAAATACAACTCTCTTAAATGATCAAGTACAACAGGAAGGGGGTGGGGGGGGCGCACACTACTGTTTCTGAGCAATACTGAAGGAATAGCCAGAAATATCATCTTAGATTTCATAAAGTTTTGAAGGGCCATATATCTTCCAGAGTATAGTTTCTATTACTATTCTAATTAGACTTTCCTCCTCAGTGTTTTGGCACATGACAGGTGTTCAATACATATTTACTGATTGAATGATCCAAATCTTTATATTTGAAGGAAACCCTGGGTTCAGTATTAATAATGAATTCCTACAAACACGGGTTTCAACATTTTAGCAAGTAAAAATTTTAATCACCTAAGAAATACACTACAGCAAAGTACATTATACAGCATTTGTATTAAAATAATCAAAATATAAGACCACAAGAACATATTGAATTAAAAAACACATGCGCACACACCAAAGTAATACTAACATCCTAACAGTAGTTAATATCAGATCAACCATTGTGCCTCTCATCATTACAAAGTAATATTACATTTTGCTATTGAGGAGGCTAAACAGGAACTAGCCAACAGGCAGTTTAGAAGAGGTATAATTTGTAGCATAAGTAGAGTGTGGATTAAGATTAAGCTGTTCTTGAATCCTGCATGGCAGGGGGAGCTGTAAATGTTCGAACAGGTGCTAGAGTACTTCTACTGCCAGAGATGCCTATTAGCTTATTAATTGTATTCTATATACATTTTTTTGCAAATGTTTGCCATATTTGTTATGCTATAAATATCTTAACATATGGCAGAATTTGAATTTTTATTCTTAAGGTCTTCATTTTAAAATATCTTTTACATAAGCAGAAGAGAATCCTAGCTAGAGTCCTTATGGGGAGATGCTTTATATTACAGAGCGATAAAGACATTGGCCTTGCATGCACTTGTCCAGCTGCTTCTGAGAGCTGGGATGACATTTGTAGTAGCCCACCCATGCTGCTATCCCCTCAAGGCTGACAGTTCTCACACGGCCAGCTGCATGGTTGGGTGATGGTGGGACAGAGTGAAATGTAATATATAAAATTTTAATTATAATCTTGCTGTAAGTAGCACTGCTTTTCTAAAACAACTTTTTCATATTTGGCTTTAGGTTGGCCACATGCAAAGCCGAACTGAAGTATTAAATGTAAGCTTGGCCAACATCTTTCATATTGTTTTTAAATAGCCATATTTAGAAACTTACCAAGTTTTAATAGTGAAAATGTTCCCCTCAAGACAAGACGTCCATTGTATCTATGAAACTGCTTTTACTTCAAGAAAGTGTTCATTTTAACATGCCTCTGCTAATATAATAGAGCCGTATTTTTCACTTTTATAAAGTGCTTACATTTCAGATCTTGCTCAAGTACAGAAAATGTACTGGCTGTTGTATTTAATCAACTTCACCAATTAGTTGTATCTGAAGTTAAACCAAAAAAATACAAGAATAATTTTTGGCCATTATCTTTTAATTAACTTTAAATCATTATTACACCAGGGGACTTCAAAAACATCATTAAAAGCACTTAATTCCTTTTTTCCACAAACATTTTGAAGCTCCCCTGTATATATATATATATATATATATATATATATCTTTAATGCTGCGTCATTAGCCAAACTATTTAAAATGTAAAATGTGACCTGAACTTATTTAGACACCACTCTCTCAAACTGTTATTTGAAGAGGAAGGGGTGAAAGACAGCTGATGGTACTTAAATTCAAGAGAAATCATGCAGGGTAGCAACATATCTACCTGGTGTTCCTCAAACTGTAGGCATCTGGCCATGAAATACCTTTCAGTGTATCCTTCAATATTTATTACAGACAAGAAGTGTAAAAGAGTAGATCCTGAGGAATCACAAACATAAAAAAGCTGGCATGGCTTAACCGAAGCACAATTCCTGTAACTTGTGATCAAGATGAGGTACAACGCGCTCCTTGTTACCTTCCCTGTACTTCATGAGGAAGGACGGAGTGGAGGAGGAGCTGTTAATGAAAATTTACTTCAACATTGGGTTGCACTCATAACCAAGCTTATGTCCAGCTTGCCTAATGATTAAAAAAAAAAAAGTACAAAATGTCCTTCCACATCTATCATTGTAGTGCCATGCTGGTTTATCCACATGGGCCGGGTCAAATTTTGACAGTCCAATTTTAAAAATCTTTTTTTCAACTAAGTGTGTCTTACCGGTAATCTGAAAGTAGTTTCTTTCCCCCAAACAGCCACACAAGGGTAAATGATCATACCTAGGTTTCCTAATTTCAGATACAGGTAGGTAGGTAACAGCTTAAATATTCTGGATAATAATAAATAGGATTCTTTTAACAATAGTACTGATTATAGTGAGTGAAGATGCACTTTTTTGGGAAGAATTTCAAACCTCATAAATACTCTTATTTTATAGACTACCCCACCCCCATAAAATAAAAGTATTTAAAAATTGTGTTGCTCTCCTAAGTATCAAAAAGCCCCATAAATGTTGAGGAAAGTTAAAGTCATTATGTCCAACAAATACAAAATTGCCCTATGTTAAGACTGTAATTATATATATATATATATACATAGAAAGAAATTATAGGAAAAGAGACTTTAACTAAATCTAAAACCAGACCCATTGCCTAGACATTCCAGATCCACAGCCACCCTGAGCCCTCTAGGACAGAGTAGTACTGCCCCATACGGTGTCCAAGGCTGTAATCTTTGCAGAAACAGGCTACCACATCTTTCTCCCACCTCAAACTCACGAAATCAGACCTTTTATAGGTAACAGAACTCATGAAACCACACCTTTCATGAATAATAAAGAAGTACAGTGAACATACTTCCTTTACTTATGTGGCTTGTAGAGCAAGCCATGTTTATAAATGCCTTCCATGGAACAGCGTGAATGAAGAAACCTAAACATTTTAGATATATCTTCCGCTAGTTTTTCTTAAACCGGTCTGCAGAGCTACAGGGGCCAGTAGTTCAAAACAGGCAAAGAAGTCATTTTTCTGGAACCAAGTAGTGATTAGTAACCTACAATAATAAAACTAAGTGCTATTCAAACTCTCCACAGCCATTCTCAGGTGTCCTCGCAGTCTCAAGGTTGAGAACACTGTGGTAAACTTCTGAGACTGCTTATTAGCTATAATCGCAATCTATAGTCTTTTGAAAAATGCTATAACATACGTACATTATACCCCACACCAAAGTCCAGGACCTCTTTATGAAAAAAAAGTATTAAATTTATTTCAGCATCTAAGTTCATTTTTAAATTAGAGCTGGACAATTTTTCAAAAATCAGAATTTTTATCAGAAGTGGGGACAAGATATTAAATAGCAATGAAAATATTAATGGACTCTGCATTTACAAAAGTTCTTTTTAAACATAAAAAATTCCAGTTTTACAACTTACTCAAATTGTTCTAGTTAAAATATTTTTCATATAATTTACCTATTTTTGCCAAATTACTACAATGTATAGCAGTTTTCTAAAACTTAAGTTTTTCTTTGTCACTCATGAATTATGACTTAACTATTATTCATAAAAATTCCGATAGAAAACTTGAAATGTAAATGTTCACCTTGAAACTGATCAAAGTACAGGACTTCATTACATGAGTTAAAACAGAATGAAATGAAGAAATAGCACTACCTATATAATCAAATTATCTAAGGCATTCTAGTTATTTCCATTTAGCACATGCAAGAAAAAAAAACCGGTTCTAGGTACAACTATATGTGGCACTTTAAAGTAAGATTTAACTCATCAATTTATTCTTCTGAACAAATCACCTCTAAGAAAATGGCAATGGTCATGAGTACGAATATTGTGACAGCCAGTGATAATCTACATAGGTAAAATAAGAACACTTCTTTGTAAAATTAGGTTTATAAAAATGCGGATCATCTGATATAATTAACACTATCTCTAAGGCTAAAATCAGAACACTGCAGAAAACAGAAACACTTATATCATTCTGAGAAAGCCAGAAATGATTTTACCCAAGAAAAAAGCAATCATGGTAGAAGATGTGATTGAGTGTATTTTATGTTTCTTAAACCAAAACACACTTTTTGCCCCAAAGAGGACAATTTTCATTTTAACAATCATAATTTCCTTTGTCCAAAGCGGGGCTCCTGAATTCAAGGCATTATTTGAATAGAGTTCATCAACACGTTTTTTTTTTGGATGTTTTCATTTCAGTACGTATGCTGGAAAACTGCCAGCTATCAAGAATTTTGTAACACAATAAATGCGAATTTGCAGTAACTGCCAACTGACACCAACAAACTAGACCCAAGATGAAATGCGAATTCAGTATTGAGGAAGCGGCTCTTCAACCTGGTCAGATCCTGTCTGCTAAATAACATGTCATACAATCTAAAGAGGAGACCTTAGTGGGGGGCCTTCCACGTGACAGTGTTTCCCAAGTGATTGCTCTCTGACTGCAGAGCCCCTTTGCTTCAATCCTTTTTCAGTCGTTTGGCTTTTGCAATATTCTCTTGACGTTTTTGCTTCTTCTTCTGCTCCTTTTCCCTGGCTTCGATCATCTTGGCCAATTTCCAGGACAGCACAGCGCTTGCGAGGAACAGTGGCGTGAGGGCCAGAATCACTGTCGTCAGGAAGCCGTATGGGTCCTTTGCGGCCCACTCCACCACATACTCAGCCCAGGCCTTGACGTCAAACATCCCTGTAGTGGTCTGAAAAAACTGATCCAGGGGAGGGGGAAAAAAAGACAACAAGATAAGACTATACTGTTCATCAAGTTTGGGGAAAAGATATCATATAGATAACCAGTCAACACAGAATGCATTATTGCTCATCAGCTTTAAAGGGAAAAAAAATACTGCTTTAAAAAGGACTAATATATTGAGCTGCTAACCAAAAAGTCAGTGGTTCAAACCCACCATCTGCTACATGGGACAATGAGTTCCCATTAAGCTTTACAGTCTCAGAAACTTTTTGTTGGGTCGCTATGCATTAGAATCGACTAAGTTTTCTTGTGTTTTGGGGATCAATAGTTCCAGTTAGGGGACCTTTAGTGATGGAGAGAATTCTCACCTTACACAAGGGAGACACACATTCAGTAACTGGCTGGGGTCCCTTAAGCACAGCCATGACCCATCTGTCTGTGGCAGCTTTCATGCTGCTGTGATGCTGAACAGGTTTAAGCAGAGCCTCCAGACTAAGACAAGCTAGGAAAGCAGGTCTAGAATTCTACTGCCCCAAATCAGTCAATGAAAACCACAACAGTCCAATTCACAACTACCCATGGGGGTGATGCAGGCAGGACCTTCCACTGGGCCTAAGTGGCTAGGAGTCAGGGCCAACTCAGAGCCAGTCACAGCTGAAGCTAACAAGAGCCCTTCAACTACTAACCAGAAGAGTTAAGACACGATGTGAAGATAAAAAAGTCCAAAATAAAAATGTGGAATCTGCCTTCTCATTCTCATATGCCTCCTCTCCGAGGGTAAGTCAAAAAGCAATGGTACTGGGGTTCCAGTTCTTACATGCAGGAGTTCATTTGAAACAAAACGAGTGTAAAGCTACCTCTACAAGGGGCTGCCTCAGTGACAGGCCCTCTCAGTGATACACTTGCCTTAGTCTCTTCAGGATGCCTTCAAAAGAGAAAGGGCCAATCGGAACAAGAGTGGGGTCTGAGGGGATCTGCTGGGCCAGTTGCATCAAGGCAGAGAGGTCAGCTCAGCCCTGGTGGTGTAGTGATTACATACTGGGCTGCTAACCATGAAAGGGTCAGAAGTTCCAAAGGACCAGCTTCCCCACAGGAGAAAGAGGAGGCTCTCTACTCCAGCAGAGGCACGGTCTGGGGAAACCCAGAGGCAGTTAGGTTGCTAAGAGAACCGACCTGATGGCAGCGAGTTCCGTTCAAAAGGGTAATCTGGGTAGATGTTCTCAATGGACACAGGACAATCACAGGGCTTCTGACGAAGACGTTTTAAGACAATGGAAAACCACCTGTATTAAAGAGCAGGAATGCTGCACCAAGTTTTTTTGTGGGGAGGGACAAGTGCAACATCCATCAGGACAGCACACCTGCTCATTCTTTGAGGGCAGCAAGTGCCATCAGAACTTCACTGGAAAACCTGACCTCACTCACAAGGCAGTCCTGAGCTTGCCACTTCAGACCTTTTTGTTCCTGGAGAGCACTGCAGAGGAACATAACTGGAGGCCATTGGGGATGGCCAAACTGCCGTTTTGACATGTAAAACAAGAAGAGTGCAGATTCTTCAGGGCAGATTCTCCAGAAGTGTTTAAACCCCAATGGAGGGCATGTCAAAAAATAATATTCACGTTTTTCATTGTTATTTAAAAAGGGGCTCTCTGATTTTGTAGCAATGCTTTTTGACTTATTCTGGTATTCAAGACAATTTATCAGCAGCCTCTTTAAAAAACAAGATTGAGTTTTATTCATTCTAGGAAAGAGCTGATTTATCTTTTTTTTTTTAACTGATTTTTGGTAAAGTACAAAAACTTTTGGTAAAGTTTCTGGTAAAGTACAAAGTTGATGTGTGAAAAGGACAAGCCCCAGAGCATGTGAAAGGGGCCAGAAAGTGGCTTTCAGATGCCAACAGGCGTTCACAGAAAGTAATATGCTCTTTTTCACTATGCTAGAGAAGTCCAGTCTCAAACCCACCGGGCCACGTCTACCCTGGCCTGGAGGATCGCTCTGAGTCAGACTCTACTTGATGGCAGTGAGTTTGAGCTTTCTCCTCCTATGGAGGATGCCCATGTGGAATAGAGAATCTGATTACTCAGCCAATGGGCCTTAACAGGAGCCATGCATCTTGGTCCTTTTTGCATTAGAAGAGGGGCCTTTCTAACAAGCAATGAGGCTAGTCTGGACTTTTTTACATTTTATGTGTGTGTCAACTCTACTCAAAACAGAGAATCAGAATACCTGGGTAGAAACTGGGTTCACACAGCCACCTAATTATCAGTGGAGACAGAAAATCATCTACCTTATGCTTAAGGAGTGATCTCGAACTTTGTCCTGGAATTATCAATGAGGAAATCACAATTTCAGATGACCCTTTGTTTTCTCCGTCTTCTTCCGTTCTACCATACACTTCTGGGTGAAGGCTTACATTCTGCACAATGGGTGGGTTGGAAACAATGGACAAAAGGAAAATTTAAGTCATAACATTCAGGATTATCCTAACAAAATTTTAAATGGAAAATTGCTAAAGTCTGTATGTACTACCTATAAATGGCACATAACACTGGCACATTTTAGGAATTGACTATCTATCCCTTCCTAATCGAATTCATTGAAAATGTGTAAAACAAAACCCCAATCACATTTGTTATTTCAATATTAATATTATTCAAGCACACGCGCGCACACACAAACCCCTTTAGCTCATTGACAATTTAAAGACCTTTCCAAAGATAAAGCATATCCATTCCTAGTTTTAAAGCTTTTTAATACTAAAAAGGAAGTATCTATTTTAGGAAGAGGTACCTTGTTATAAGATCACACAGTTCTCACTCTCTTTTATACAACTTGTTCTTTATTGAAAGAACGGATAGCCATGAAACATACTAAATCATCCACAATCTCATCACCTTAAAAAACCTGTCAATATTTTTAATGCTATCCTTTCACGATTTAAACATTTTTTCAACAACAAACCAAATTCTTTTCTACTTAAATACGCAAGAACGTACCTAAGATGCGGGTCAAAAACCTAGCCTCCAGACGGGGGCCTCGCCCACACAGTGGGGAACCGTGACACCCGAGTTCCCACCCGCTACCACCAAACCAGTTTCTTCACAGTCCCCAGGGCGGTAATTTATGAACTAATGATGCAAGCTTCCATTCGAAACAACTTTGCAATAATGGCATGGCTCCGGTGAACTTCAATTTTGGGCCCCAATGCAGGCCTTTCTCACACTTTAGTACAGACATCACTCTTCGCTCCGAACGAGGTCGACCCGGCGGATCCCCGCGGCCCAACAGCGCCGCACTACAGCTGCACCTGGCGACGCTTTGCCGCCGTCCCCACTCCCTCCTTTGTCTTCCCCTCCCCTCTACCCGCCACAGCCCGGTCGCAGGCCCGGGAGGCTCCGCCGAGCCCCGACACGGCGTCGGAGGGCGCGGGCCCCTCATCCCGCGAGGGGCCCGGCGGGGCTGACGGAGCGGAAGGCCCCGGGAACTCGAGATCGGCCCGACCCCGCTGGTAGCGCCGAGGTACAACCCGCGCGGCGGCCGCCGCCAGCCGTCCCACCTGGTGCCCAGCCTCGGACGCGTGCCCAGCCTCGGGCGCACAGCCCGCTCCCCACTCACCGCCAGACCGGAAGCAGGAAGCCGAAAGCCGCGGCTGCCGCCCCGCCCACAGCCGGCTCCGCCCCTCGTCAGGAGAGCGGACGTCTAGGGGCCAGTTTCCGGCCGAGGCCCGGCGGAGCGGGGTCGGCCCCGCGGCCAGGCCGGGGGCGGGGCGGATCTGGGGGTTCCGGGGAGCGGCAGGTGAGGCCACGTCGGGTGAGAGGCCGGGCGGTGTTTCTGCGCCTAAAGCTCGCCGCCTGCCGGGAACTGACGGGCGCGGCGACGGAAATAGCCAAGTCTTGGTCCTTTCCCCCTCTAGGTCGGCCCTGAACAGACCCTCCTCTACTGAAGCCAGTTAGGGGTGCCCCGTAATATCTGAGGTCTTTGGCGGCTGTAAACTCAGAGCAAATGGAGACACAGAGAAGGGGGTTGGTCCCCATAAGCCGCCCAGAGTCTAGGTCAGGGTCACACGGTTGCAGCAATGGTTAAATCCGCTGGTAAAGAGGCAAAGAAGCAGGACCTTCATGGACCCCCTGAACTTTCTTACTAAAGGCAAAAACATCCCATCCGTACCGTGTGAAAACGCGTTTTTGTGGTTCCTGTATGTTTTTAATTTGCAAAAGAATGATCGATATTTACCCAAAGTAAACTTGATAAGTAATTGAGTTGTTAAGTTCCCACGGCGGGCACTTGTTCTTGCCATACACTAATAAAGAGCTGCAAAAGTCAACAAGAGGGAAAGGTGCGTTAGTATTGTCTTCTAATCTGCAGGAACTGAAAGATTAGCTCTGGTTTGGTTGGTGACCACCTTTTGTAAATTGCTTGCACTGAAGTGCTCTGTTGGACTACCTCTGGCAAATGTTGCAAGACCTTCCCTGGTGTGTGCCAATTCAAGCAGGTTTTTGTTCTCCATAGACCATAGAATGTTCTCTGAGGAGCAAGCCGCGACATGCATAACCAGGTATAACAACAGTAACTATTATTTACCAGGGAACAGACTTTTGGCAGATAATCTAATGATCTAAAACACTGTTCCTTGGGCATATGTTAATGTTTATTATATTACCGGCACTTGTTTTCTTACTCATTCTTGTTTGAAAACTTGGATGAGTGTTTCAAAGCCTGTGTTGCTTAAGCCCAGCCTGTACCTGTAGGAGCCAGAAAAGGCAGACTCAGTCACTGAATTGTGTGCACTGTAAACTTGACGGACCGAAGATAACTTGATACGTGACTTTGGAAAATGTGTACCCAAGTTATGATTGTAGGACAAGAGGGTCTAGCATTCACCAGACGTCAGCCAGAGGCCAATGTAGCTTTGTTTTAAATGATGACCAGACTGTTTCCCAGTTACTGCCTCCCCTCTCAGTTCCGTGCTGCAGTTCTGGTTAAAATCACCTAAGTACTGGACTGGTAGAAAAACCTCAGAGGAAGGACGCCTCGGTGGCTCTTTGGGTCTTAGGCACGTTGAGCCTTCACTGCGTAGTTGACTGCTCGAGTTTCCAGTTCCTATGCAGCCTGCCACTCCTGCATTGCCGTGACACGAAGGCGCTGTCAGCATTGGTTCAGATGTTGTGGCTTGTGGGTTGAAATTCCTAAGGTCTTGGAACTCGGGCAGTACTGACCTGTATGCTGTGATATCACCAGGAGGAACCTGGTTCCGCTTCTACCTTTGCAAAGTGTGCAAAATGATGTCTAGTGCCTTTCAGCTTTTCAGTTTTGTGGATTGTACTGGATTTGGCCATCTTTCTCCCTTAGGTCTCATCAGCATCAGCAGAGTAAAGTCAAAACCAAAATCACCGCCATGGGGTCAATTCCTTCAACTTACAGCAACCCTCTAGGATCCCTGGTGTGGTCGTGGTTACTGGCAAGGTAACTGCTTTCAGCAGTTTGAAACCACCAAAAAAAAACAACACAACACAGGGCGTTCTACTCTGGTGAAGAGTTACAGCCTCTGAAACTCACCAGTTCTGCTTGGTCTTACAGGATTGCTATGAGGCAGCATCGACTCTCTGGCCGTGAGTTTTTGAGGGCAGATGGTAGAACTGCCCCTGTGGGTTTCTGAGGCTCTAACTTTACTGGAGTTCTTACCTCTTTTTCCTGAGGAGCAGCTGGGGGTTTTGAACAGCTGACCTTGTAGTTAGCAGCGCAGTGCTCAACCCAGTATGGCTCCTTAACAGATTAAGGCATCAGGAGAAATATCCGAGCCACATTTCTTATGGTCATTATTATTTGAAAATATCTCTCATCAGATATTTATTCTTTCTCAGTTGTCTCAGAATACCAATTTAGAATAACCGGAAAATAAGGTTTGCTTGAATTGTGGCACTTGAATTATTTTTTAAGAAAGAAAATCTTAACCATTCACATGTAACTTTAAACAAACAGCACCTTACACTGTTTATTAGGATCTGTCTTGGCATCAGAATGATTCTTATCTAGCCTGTCTGGTCTAGCCTGGTCAGCACCCAACCAACCCCACTGCCAGGGAGTTGATTCTGACTCTTGTGACTGTATAGAGCAAGGTGGGGCAATGTCCAGCCTGCAGGCCGAATTAGAAAACAAACTCACTGCCCATATAGAACTGCCCCTGTGGGTTTCTGAAACTAATTCTACCAGAGTAGAAAGCCTGGCCTTTCTCCTTTAGAGCAGCTGGTGGTTGTGAACTACTGACCTTGCGGTAGCCCAACACGTAATCACTGCACTACCAGGGTTCCTGTCGGGACATATAAGACCCCCGAAATCATCAGTACTGGCTAACAACACAGGCCTCACCCAAGAGAAACCGTTCCAGCCGTTTCATCAGGGATGAGTTAATGTTTGACCAGTGTGGCCTGAGAATGATGCTATAAATATTCAAATTGCCCTTGGCAGGAAAAAAATTCCCCACCCCTGTTGTAGAGGGTTCTAAAGCTGTCAGCCTTTCTGGGCGGAAACCCCTTCTCTAACTGAGTGGCTGGTGAGTTTGAACAGCAACTCTTGTGGTTAGCAGCCCAACTCCTAACCCAAAGAGCGGGGGAGGGGTGGGGGTGCGGGCACACAGGTGTGCTCTATTGCTTATAAAACCAAACTCCCATCAAGTCAATTCCAACCCTTAATGACCCTATAGGGCAGGAAAGAACTGCCCCTGTGAGTTTCCAAGCCTGTAACTTCACAGGCGTAGAAAGCTTCCTCTTTCTCCCAAGGAGCAGCTGGTGGTTTCCAACTGCACTGCTGACCTTGAAGATCACAGCCGAATGTGTAATTGTTGACTAGCTCTGCCCTAGGTGTTTGACGGCTCTATAGACTGACACACCCCGCCTGAGACCATGGTTATACCCATTTGACCAATGAAAAGCAGGATTCAAAACATTGGCCCAAATGTGCTCATTTTGCATGGATGAAGACTTAACAACAACACCAAAATGCTGGTTTCATAAAATGAAAGCAAATTCCTTGATTCTAGAATTCCTAATTAACTAATCATCATAACACACTTCTAGCACCGAACCATAAATTCTTCACCCCCTTTCAAAATTGGGTATTGCCCGAGTGGCCGCGGCAGAACATGGTAAGATTTGGAGGGTTTCCCCTAGCCTTACTAGTTTATTTGCTTGCTTCAAGAATTTTTTTTAAATGATAGTTATTTTTTCATTCTTAAATGCTACTTGGCAGAAACACATTCTAAGTTAAATATTAGCTAAGATTGTTTCTGGAGTACCTAGCTAAATTATAAAGCAGGCTTCTTAAATGTATACACTTCATCATTTTAGGAGGTAATAAAAAGCTTTTAAAATATAGAATTAGTTTACAAAGCGAGATTGAGTAGGGAGCAGTACAAGGACATTCAATGCAGAAGGAACATAAGTAAATATGTAGCAGAATAATTTACTGAGGAGATTAGCCATAATTTGCCTAGAACACCCTTATCTTTTCAGGGCCTTACCCTCATAGAGGTTTCTAGTCAAGTATTCTTTTCATAAACGCCTCTTCATAAATGGTCTCTACCTTGTCACTTTGTTTTTTTCACAAAGTGGTATTGGACTGATATTGGTCTCAGTTGCTGGTTTATTAGCTATTTTGCCCAGTAGAATGTAAGTTATATGAGATCAGTTACTCCAATACTTAGAACATGGCTTTGAATGATTCTAAGATGTAGCATTTACTTACGAGTAAAACGGTTAGTGTTTCAAAACTTAAAAGCAAAGGGATCATGTAATAATCAAAATCCAAGGTGTTTGTGAAGTTCATATTTGCAACAGTGGCTTGAGGTCTCCCTTAAGCTGGGTTCTCTAGAGAAGCAAAACTGGTGACACTTACATATGTATACACAGATTGGAGATGAGGAAATGGCTCACAGTTATAGTGGTGGGCAATCCAAGGTCTATGGGTCAGATAACAGGGTGGAGTCTTCTCACTCTCTTGCTCTATAAGCTGAGGAACCCAAGATTGGCAAATCAGATATCAGACTTGGGCAGAAGCAAATGAATCCAAAATTAGCAATTAAGATGTCAGGCTG